CCCCCCCCTTCTCCATCCCTTTCCCTCTCTCTTCGCTCTCCCTCCCTTTCCCGCCTGCCGCTCTTGCTCGCTCCTCGCGTCCTGCCATGACCCATCCCGCCGCCGCTGATGTCGTGCCGGCCGACGCGCCCGTGCCCTCGGCCAGCCTGCCGTCCAGCGTCCCGGAGGACGACATCTCGATGGAGGTGGACCATGGCCATCTTGCCGCGGATGCCGCCCCGTCCAGCTTCACCCTGGAGGAGTCCGACCATGCTGTGGCCTCGATCGTCGACCTCGGCGGCAATGAGGTGCGCCCCCATGCCGAAGCCCCTCCTCCTCGCCACTCTCCCCCGCCCCGCCCCGCCCCGCCCTGCCGCGCCCCGCACCCCTGGCATGCTGACGTCGTGCCTGCCACCGCTCCTCGTGGTCGCGCAGAAAGTGGACCAGTCGCACATCGATGCCACGGCGCGCGCCCTCATTCGCGCGTGGGAGTGCGACGATGTGCAGAACGTCTTCTGCCTCGCGTACGTGCTGCCCCCTGTCGGTGCCCCGCGCCCTCTTCCTCGCCCCCCCCCCCCTCCCCCCTTCCCCGCCCTAACCATTCGGCCCCCTGCCTGCTCGCGCGCCCGCTCGCTCGCAGTGTCTCCCAGCTGCCCGCCAAGTTGGGCGTCTTTGTGGGGCTGATCGCGACGATTGCCCGCACGGGTGGCATTGCCCCGGCTTCGATCATGGAGGCCGCCGCCGCGGCGGCGGCCGCCGCGGCGGCCGTCGACCCGCCCCTCGGCGAGGGCGACCACTCCCCTGCCCCGCCCCCGCCGCAGCTGCCTGTGCGCACGGACATCCCCACCGACCCGGCCTTCCACCAGCTGGTGGCCAGCTCCCTGGCCGGCGCCCTGGCCCGGCGAGCCTCACTTCCTTTCAGCTCGAGCAGCCGCGCGCACAGTGTCAACGGCTGGCATGAGAGCAAGCAAATTGTGCGCGCGCACACCCACACGCATGCATGCATCCCCCTATGTCCTGCTGCCTCCTGCTCTCCTCTGTTGGTGCCCCCCGCGCCCCTGTCTGACGCTTGCCCACCCGCCGCTGCCTCACCGCTCCTCCGGCCCAGGTGCTCTACTTTGCCGAGCTCGTACGCGCCCGGCTGGTCGCCCCCCTGGCCCTGGTTCCCTGGATCCGGTGCTTTGTGGATGGTGTTCCGGAGACGGCCCCCGGCGCCGGGGCACACCATGACACCCGCTTCCACCACCGGTACCTGCTGCATGCGGCCATCCTGGCCATCATCCGCGCTGGCCCGGCCTTCGCCCATGCCCCCATCGACGACCTGGTGGCCGCGGTGGACCGGCGCCTGGCCTTTGTCACCGGACTGCCCATCGCCGATGCCGAGGCTCTGACGGGCGATGCATCGGCCGCGACGGCCGGCGGGCGTCTTGCCCGGCTGGCCCGGTCCCAGGAGCTGGTCGCACTGCCGGACCGCCGGGTCCGGGCGCCCCTGCGCCCGGAGGCCGGGGCCCCCTGCCAGGCGCGCTACGTGGCCGATGTGGACACCCTGGCCGAGGCGTGGCTGGCCTGGCGGAGCGCGCTGCATGCGTCGCGCGCCCAGCCGGACGCCATGCACGGCCCGGCCGACCCGCTGGTGGTGGCCCTCCGGGGCCTGGCCTCCTACCTGGCCCTGGAGGAGGCCACTGAGCAGCCGGGCCCGGGGTCGGCTCCCGCGGTCTTCCCCATCAGCCTGCCGGAGCCCCCGCGCGTGGACGAGTACACCGGCCAGCCGCTGCCGGTGCCGGTGCTGCCCTTCCACCGGTCGTTCCTGATCCCGCCGTCGCTGTTGGCCTGGACTCGCCATGCGGAGGCGGCCACGGTGGCGGCCGAGCGCACGGCCACCCGGGCCGCCGGCGTGGCCCGTGTGGCGGCCCTGCGCCACTTGCGCCCGGAACGGCCGGCCCCCGGGGGGGGCGCCATGCTCCTGACCGAGGACGACCTGGCCGCCCTGCCGGAACTCAGCGATTCGCACACCCGGCAGGTGGTCACGGCGGCCGGTCGCTTTGGGGCCGGGCTCGTGCAGTCGGCGGTCCCCCCACTGCGGGCTTTGGCTCGCGCGGTCCTGGAAGATGCCACCCGGGAGACGGTCTTCTTCCTGGCCCGGAATCGGCCCGACTGCGCCAAGCACCTGCTGTCGATGGCCAGCCTCGGGGAAGCGGCCGACGCCTCGTCGGCCACCGGGGCCTACCCCGATGGTGGGGATGCCGCCCCGGAGGCCGATCGGGACTTCCCGGCGAGCGCCGCGCCGCGGCCCCCGGCCCCGGCCCCGGCCGTGGCCGCGCACATCATCGAGGCGCTGGTGTCCCTGGCTCTGGCCCCGCCGGCGGCTCCCTCATCGCCGGGCGCCGGCGGCGGTGGCCTGGGCCTCGGTGGTGCCCCGGTGGATGTGATCTTCGTGCAGTCGGTCATCGTCGAGATGTGCAAGACCGAGAAGGAGGCCCTGCAGAACCAGCAGACCGGGCTCGGGGGCTTTGCCGGGGCCGTGGCGGCCGGCGGGCCAGCCGGCCCGGGCGCCACCGGGGCCGGGGCCGCCGTCGGCACCGGGCCCGTCGGGGCCTCCTCGCCCGCCGGCACCGGGATCTGCTCGCTGGCGGTGTCCGCCATTGCGGATGCCTTCCTGCGGGATGCCATTGCCCTGGACACGGTGCTGGCCCATGTGCGTATCGCCCGGTGGTTGGCCTCCTTCGCGTCGAATTCGGAGTTTGTCCTGGCCCCGGCCCCGCCGGCCGTGTGCCCGGTGGATGCCGGCAAGCGGACGGCCATCTCCGCGGCACTGGCGCTGCACACCCGCCGGGCCGCCGAGCAGCCCACCCTGAGTCGGTTTTCGTCGGGCGCCGGGCCGGCGGCCGTGGGCGCCCCTGGCGGGCATGGGGCTGTTGTGGCGGCGGCCATCGCCGTCGCCGCCGTCCACGGCCTCGAGGGCCCGGCCCTGACCGCCTGTCTGGCGGCCCTGGCGGCCGACCTCCCCCCGGGCAATGCCAGCCCCCCGGGGACTTGCTTCGATGCCTGGCAAGACCTACTCCTTGCCTCGATGACCGGGGCCGGCCCGGAGGCTGACCAGGCGTGGTACAGCGGCGCTGCGGCGGCCGCGGCCGCGGCCACGGCCGCTGCCGACCCCGAGGCCGACTCCTCGGATGCCGGACTATCGACCCGCCTCCGGAGCCGGGCGTCACACTGCCTCTTCCGGTCCTTCATCACGGCGCTCATTCGCTTCGGCCCGGCCGAGCGCGTGGCCACCGTCCTGCCGCCGCTCTATCATGCGCACTATCTGGCCCCGGAGCTGGCGGCTCTGGCCGTGTCTGCCGGCGTGGGCTCCTCGCGCGGGACCGGCGCTCTGGCCGCCCCGGCCAGCCAGCCGGCCGAACCGCACCTGAACATCCTGTCCATGTTCCCGCTGGTGAATGGTGCGTGCCTCGCCGTGTCCTGCGTGGGTCTTCTCGCATGTCCATGGGGGGGGGGGGTGG